GGTATTTAATGAAACTGTGTATTTAATTGTTAAATTATGTCCCATCAGCATTACAGGCCAAATATTGGTTTAACTAGCTGTGGTAAAACAATATTTCATATATTAATGCTAGGGATGCATGATATTATTGGAATGCTATCGAAATCGTCCGATAATGGCTTAAAATGTAAATATCGGCATTGGCCGATTTGGAAAAAGATTATGCCGATATGCCGTGCCGATAGCTCACATGTGCTCAGGGTGTGCTAGCGATAAGATCACTTCAGCAGTGTCTCATTCTTGAAGCAAACTTTTGCCTGAATGGTGATTAGATTCACTGTTTTGAATCGCCACATTTATTCTGAGAATACAATTACAGAACGACGCGTCTGGTGTGCGTCAGAGTCAACAGTCACTAGTGCGTGCAGCAGCAGCAGCTTCCCCCGGGTCCTAATACCCATCCGCAACAGTGTTGCCAACTGCTTTCAATTGAAAGTAGCAAAAACTGGTAGCTAAATGTCACTAGATGACATCATAATGGCAAATTCACTGATCTATATAAAGATGAATGTAGATCAGTGGGCAAGATGAGAACTTAGATAAGGTTTGTCCAAGAAGTTGCTATATTTGTCCCTAAACTTTTGAAAAAAGTCTCAAAAGGGGCGGGGAAGTCGCTAAATCTAGCTACAAAATTGCTAAATTTTTGACTGAATGCAGCGTAGGCTACAGAATGACAAACAAACAAACAAACAAATAAATAAATAGACGTGATAAAATAACTTTGGATATGGTGAGGTTATGAGTTATTTGTATAAACTAATACATAGCTTTGGTTATGATGAAGCAGGACATGTTTTGTGCATATGACGAGCGAAGATGCCATGATTTGACTCACAGTCAGTGTTGCCAACTGCTTTCAATTGAAGGTAGCTAAAACTGGTAGCTAAATGTCACTAGATGACATCATAATGGCAAATTCACTGATCTATATAAAGATGAATGTAGATCAGTGGGCAAGATGAGAACTTAGATAAGGTTTGTCCAAGAAGTTGCTATATTTGTCCCTAAACTTTTGAAAAAAGTCTCAAAGGGGGCGGGGAAGTTGCTAAATCTAGCTACAAAGTAGCTAAATTGGCAACACTGATCCGCAAGGCATTTTATTTACTTAGGGGGCGTTGTTGGCCTACTTGTAATAAAATTATAGTAAAATACACAAATATCATTAATATGCTTGTGTTTCTGAATAAACAAAGCAGTATCGATGTCTTAAAATCACGAGTCTGTTTTGATTTAAATGTCAGAAGCTTTAGCTTACATGAATAAAAATCACAAACATGACACTTGTAAATTAAATAATTTGATATATACAGATTTATTCAGTAATATGTAATATATATTTTTAAATGGATTATGAAAACTTAAATACTAGGAGCTCTAAACAATTTTTTTGAATTTTTACAGCTCTTTTGCTTTAGACCAGTGATGGGCAAACTTGGCCCTTCCAGGCCACTTTCCTGCAGAGATTTGATCCAACCCTGATATGACTCACCTGCCTGTAGCATTCTAGTAGTCTTGAAGACAATGATTAGCTGGTTCAGGTGTGTTTGATTAGGGTTGGAGCTAACCTCTGAAGGAAAGTGGCCTGGAAGGGCCAAGTTTGCCCACCCCTGCTTTAGACCATCTATTAATGTTAAATCCACAAATAAAATGTTAAAGTTTCAACTGCATCTGTCAAAAATAAAGCAGAGATTGATTTATGTTATTTTAAAGGCTTTCAATGTACTCTCATTGAAAAAGAACTTTAAAGGGATAGTTCACCCAAAAATTAAAATTAGCCCATTATTTACTCACCCTCAAGCCATCCTAGGCGTATATGACTTCCTTCTTTCTAGGGCTGAACGATTAATTGCATTTGCGATAATATCGCGATATGAAAAAACACGATTTTTCAATCGCAGAGACTGCGATTACACTCGGTCACGTGACACGCGAGAGTAAAGAGGTGTGTTCCACTTGAAGATCGATCGGTGTATGACATCAAAGTACAGCGAGAGAAAGCATAAGGAGACGTCCGCGCCCATCGGTGACAGAATGGAGAAAAAACCTTGGGAG